AGAGAGAGAGAGAGAGAGAGAGAGAGAGAGAGAGAGCGAGCGAGAGAGAGTAGTCAAAGAGGAAGGAAATGGGACGAGTCAAAGAGGAAGGAAATAGGACGAGTCAAAATATAGGAAACACCATCATGTGCATATAAAATGAACTCAGATTGCAATACTTTGGATTGTCTCAATAAGGGAAGGCAAACAAGTCAGAGTGAAAAACAACACTAAATGCATGCGAACAGGTGAATCAAAATGGAACATTTCTGGAAGGAATTTGAGTTCATGTCAAATAAGACATGGAAATGTACTAACAAAAGTTGCATGTGAGGCTTCTCCTCGTTGGGTAATGTGCTTAAATGGAAATGTGAAATGGTACCATGTCTTTAGTTTATTTGTTGTCTTATTTAGCACAAGCACATTATTTTCAGAAAGACAACAAAATATGTTACAAGCACATCAGGATCGTATTTAATATCCACTAGCCATGTACCAAAAACAATTGAATTACAAACTCATTATCATTTAAAGGATATGTAGAAAAGACTTGAATTACAAACTGAGCCGACCCCAAATAGTTGAATAAGGCTCGGATGATGATGATGATGATGATGATGATGATGTAAAAAAGAGACTAGAAGACAAAAAGATTTTGGGACCCACAAAATGCACTGCAAGGTAAATTTTGTGTTCTAAGAAAATTCTAGACCAAATTTGAAAGACAGCTCGCATATCAAAATATTTCAATTATGTTTTATCATCTTTTCTAAGTAATTATTTACTTACCAAATTTATTGAATGGGCCTCCCCCAACTAGGGAACTTCTAGCCGGCAACAATCCATGTTCCCATTCCCACACCAAACAACTATGGTCCATAACACTAGCACAATGAGAAGTCCGTGCGTGGTCAAAGAAACTCATCACACAGGTTGTGTATCTAAACATTTTTCTAGAGAACCCTTAATCTTATACCTGTATCCCTTAACACATGAGACACATCAATCCCCTTGTGTTCCACTTTCCACTTGACTCTCCAGCTATGTTTATAATAATCAAACAATTACTTACTTATTGGTAAAAACAAAGACAAGGAAAAACCTCCAGTAGTCACCATGAATTGTGAAAATAAAAAGTTGTAAGAAAAGCGGCTACATCGTACCAAAAGAGACAACATTTGATATCAGCCGACAACATTTTTATGAAATAAAAATTAAAATAATTAAATTCTCCCACCAACACAATTAAAAAGTTACTGACCTTTGTTGCCGGAATAACTGTAAATTCAGGAATTGGGCAACTTATATTGCTCATTAGCTTGCACGATTCTGCAAAAGATAAACGAAACCAAAGTCATCACGAGCCTAAAATGCATATGGAGGGGCAAATACACCAACAAAAAGACTTTTCAGAGGACAAAACTCGCAAATGGAGTGTAAATAAAATAAACCGACCCGAACAAAGTTCATAAGAAGATTAGATATTTTGGACAAGCATGACTCGATATGACAGTACCATGCAATTTAATTCTCTGAGAAACAATGGTATGACAATGCCCTTAAAAACTATTTTAGCAGGAGGAAGGGGCAGTCATAACATGATAAGAAAATGCCTCTGGATTATAAATATAACGAAATCTCAACCATCAGAGTATGACAATCTATTAGCCTCTGTTAATATCACCTTGGATGTGAAGCACACAACACGCTGACTCTTTTTGTTATAAAATTGAAAGACTTGGTTTTGTTTTATTGTTAATGAAATTAGAGTTCAATCTGCTGGGTCAAATGAAAGCAGGGCATGAAGGTTCAACCCCTAGCAACAATTGAATGAATTTCTTTCATGTTAACTTTGGTCATCATTGCTTTTGAGCAAATCCACGCTCTGGAGTAGAAAATACCAGCACTGATCCAACCAAGTATCACTACTCAAAGAGCTGCCTTGCAAGAATTTGCAATGACCTTTCATTAAGAAGATTGAGCTTCAAACACACATAAGAAGGAAGCCACAAAATACTCAGGAGCTTTCAGCATGTAAACAGATGGACATGAAATATTTGGTAACAAAATGAGTCTTCAAAAGTCAAAACCGTCCAAACTACTGGCTTATAATCAAAAGATAAAATGAAGTGAAACTCTTCCTCCTAATACATGCCATTATTCAACAGCATCTTGTAGTAAATTCGTTATGAGGAAGATGTGTTACTAGATCCCAAGCAAGGTCCCAATGGAGGGCAGCCTATTCTTCATTTGTAGCTTGCACCGACCAAGTAAGAGATGCGACTTTGCAGCTTCGATGCCCACATCAAAACAGTGGCAGATAATGAAAGAAATGTATATGTTAAAAATGCTTGATACTGGGAGAAAAACTATTGAATTACATGAAGGAGAACAAATCCTTGCAACAAAAATGTTTCAGCTAATAAGGACCAAAAGTAAGAATTTTTTTCCTAGTGAGTTGAAGGATATGACACCATCAAGGAAAGAAATGCTCTTTACAACAAACAAGAGACCATTAGAAGCTCCCTGAAAATCACAAGAGTTAGCACATAAGACATGCACTAAAAAACACCAATGACTACCCATATGAAGATGGCAATAGACTAAATAGAGACTTTTCAAGTGGAATCTTTTATTACAAAACATGTTCAGCTACCAATGGCCAAATCAACAATGTGGTATAGAAGAAATTAAAAGAACACTGCCAATTCCATAATATAATAATTCCTACAGAAAAACCAATTTTCCTTTGGAGTGGTTGAAATATCTAATCAAAAGGTACTATGCAAATTCGACACTCCTTAATCTTAGATTTCAAGCTACCAAATAGAAATGTGGAAAAGGGGGAGGTTGAAGAACTAAACCATCAAGTTATGCCGAGGATTCAGATACCAGTAACAAGTGCCCAGTTCGTCACTTGCACCAATCCAGCACATTCTTATGCTACCCATTCTAAAATCAGTAGCATACCAGAGAACTAAACCTCACGAGCATAGATCATGGATAGTAAGGAATATACAGGGGCCTAAGCAATAAAGGCACTAAATCATCCATAAAATCCCTATCATTTATATTTTGAACAGAATGCAATATTTACCTTGAATTGACAATGCAGTAGGATACATGGGAGGATTAAGTAGAAGATCCCTCATATATCTGATGTGAAAACACACAAGAAAAAGTCAGATGTGGTAGAGGGAAAGGATGTAGATCATATCACTCTGTACAGAAAACAAATAAATTAATTAAGAAGATGGCTACAAGGATACAATGAACAGAATGCAGAATATCTTACTATCAGACGGTAAATGTTGTCATTACTTAAAACAACTAGCATAATGTAGCAGTAAAAGGTTGGAAAGACAAAACTAGAAACAAGCACCAAGATATGGAAGAAAGAGAATGGCATCACCAAAAACACAATGCAGAACACCAAACTATGCTTCTAATAATAATGAGAAAAGTTATCCTACATGAGAAGTACATCAAGTTGAAGCAATCTCCATTCACAGCAGTGCAAACAATAGTACAGCACCAAATATGCCATGGTGCAAATACATAAGCTGAATCATCACACAAAATCACTAAATGACAAAAACCACCAGAATTCAACTCTAACGAACATCAGAAGCACAAAGTGCTAAACATTAGAGCGCTGAAAGTAACAAAGAAAAATGGTAAGAAACGCAGTTAAGGAAATTCCATGGAAGCACCCTAACATTGAACCATTCTAGTAATATTATGCTTTAATTAGGGACTACATCCCTGACTTTTGATTATTTACCTTGATGAAATGCTGCTGCCCGAGGAAAGAATAAACATTATCATATGTCCCAAATAAAGCACCCTAAAACACAAAGACCAGCCTCACTACAACACTAGGAATGGAATACATCTTTGTAGGGCTCCACCCTTCAACCAACACAATAAAAAGGTCCACAATTCCAACCACCAGGACAAGAGATATGCCCAATTTTTCAAGGTTGATAATGTGCCCAATTTTGCCAAGTTAAAGCCCTTCACATCCCTTGAAGAACAAAGATATGTTCTTATTTAAAGGTTTACTAGATCTCATTAATGAGTATAATTTATATAAATTTTACTGTCTCACGAAACTATACACTCTGTTAACAAATAAGAAACAAAAAAGTGTACACTGTCAAGGGTTTTACCAAACACAAATGCAAAACTTCTGATTGTTGCATCTCAAGCAAGGAAGACTACAATATAGCAAGGAAGACTACAATATGACATTGAAAAAAATTAAATCTCTGACTGGAAAAACCTCTGCACATGCCAAATTTTTTCATTCTATATAAAAATAGGATAAATCAGTACAAGACAACATCCAGGCAATTGAAGATCCAAATATAGAGGCTATTTCGCATCTAACACGTATTCATTTACGTGACAATCTACAATCCTTGTTAGCATCAGTACAAGACAACATCCAGGCAATTGAAGATCCAAATATAAAGGCTATTTCGCATCTAACGTATTCCTTTAGATGACAATCCACAATCCACAATCCTTGTTAGCATCCAGCCACAAAGCCAACAAGTTTAACCCCAAGCACAGAATATTTTGGTTAAAAAAATAAGTTATTAACAACATATGGCAGAATGCACCTTACGTGCTCTGGATGCATTACAGGTTTGGTACATTGTTTTTGCATGCATATGCATAGATGGACGTATACTAATACTATTATCTGCAGATCAGAACAATTTGTGATTTCCAAACTAGTAGAAATCATAAGTAGAGTTCACCACATGTAAGATTTGCAGCAATGAGCATAGCTGGAATGATATCAAGGAACCTACATGTATAAATCCGCACAAATAGCCTTAGGAAATTAAGCTACCAATCACAAACATGCCCTTAATATGTGTAGGTAGGTATGTTTGACGAAACATAATTTTTAATATTCAGATTTTAAGATATTTGATTAAATGCATTGTTGGCTTTTTGTATATTTCAGTATTGCTTATTATCTTGATTTGTGTTTTCTTGAGTATATTTGACTGTCAACCTGTATTTCAGAATGTTTATAGATTTGATATTTTTTACTTTATGGCTGTAAAAATCAAATTTATCATCATCAACAGAGCCTTTTCCCAACTAATTGGGAGTCAAATTCAAATTTATATGGAGCCAAATTCCATCAAGAATTCTATCAAATTTTAGAGTGATGAACATCTTACCCAGTATGAGCCAACCATCGTGGCAGTCCAATATATTTAGACACTTTGATTTTTCAAAGCCCTTCCATCAAACGCTGCCCTTCTATCAAACACTTTGCAAGTGCATATCAAATTTAAAGAGAAAGAGAGATAGAGAGCTTGTCAGAGACTCTAAGCCACATATAATGTATTTCCTCTCTCGTTTACAAGCAGTCATGATTGGAGGGTAGATAGTGAAAAGAGGCAAATTGATGGAGTTTAAGTAGGCATAGATAGTGAAAATGGACAACTAATTGAGTTTAAGTAGGCATTATTTGGGACAGAGAGAGAATATAGATTGGAATGCAAAATAGTCAGGAGTGATTCAGGGAGAGNAGAGAGTGTTGTAGTAGTACTAGTATATTATTACTATACTCTCTCTCTCTCTCTC